GCTACAATTGTATGAGATTTTAAACTAAATCGGCCTGTCGGAAAGATATTTTAAATCATATCTGACTTATTCTGGCCTTTTCCTACATTTTGCTCATTAAAAAAAAAAAAAAAAACTCTTTAACCCTAACACATGTTTATGTGTTTAAATTTAAGCCATCTACCTGCTACTTTCCTGTAAGTAATTGGCCAGCGAAAGACCTGGATACCATTACAGTACAAATTCTACCAAGGTAAGATTTAGAGTTTTATCAATTTTGTCGTAAATCCTTTCCTCCAGCCTACTTTCCTATTAACCGAAAAGAGTTTTATTAGGTGATAAAAGGTATTTTCTTTTTATATTTTCTTCCTATTTTCATTTCTCTAGAATTATTTTGAGGTACTTAAATTGCATTGGCCTAAGAAAAGAGAGTTTTTGATGTTCATGAACACATCTCATTGTAGAATTATAACAGAATAAATGTTTTGTTCATATGGTTCAAGATAAAACCTAGCTGTGAGGTTTTTTTTTTAAAACACATTTTAAAGGAGATTTATTTAACAACTTGTTCTAGTAGGTAAGCTCAACTGGATTTATATATTTTATGTACACATTTTTGCTTCTTCTGTAGAAAATATAAAGAGACCTTTAAAATAAAATCTCAGTCCAAATAAAATAATCCATAAAATATTATTTTCTTAAATAGCAGAACCCACTAAAAACAGCATTGTTACTCATAAGGTCTTTACATTTTTTTTTAAAGGTCTCCCAAGGTTTCATATATAGGTACATGACGGTACCCAAGGTTGGGGGTGGGGGGAGGGGGGAAGGGAGGTAGATATACTTAACTGAATCTCAATGTCTTTGGCATCCCTGTCATTTGGTTCATGACCATTTTCAGATTCTTCTGCACATTTCTGGTTAACTTTTGTGCATGTTCAGAAGGGCTAATAAATTACCCAAAGTCGCAGTGAGATTATTATGGACCCTGCAATTCACAGAGCCAATCAAACTGTATATATATATATACACACACCGGTGAAGAGACAAGCGGTTAATGGTGAACCATTTCTTATTGGAAAATAATGACATGGGAGATTTCTAATGATGCTATAACAGTGAAGGTCTCTTAAACACAGACAGGATTATTGACTAAAGTGAGAATTGCCAGGAATCCAAAGAGAATGTCAAATGAAAGGTCAAAATAGCTACATTGAAAACAAAATTGACTGGGAGAATTACTAAAGAACATAACCCTGAGAGATGGCCTTACTCTCTCGAAGGGTTACTCCAATGTCTATTTGCATTTGTGTGTCTGGGGCTAGGTACACCCCAAGCAAAGGTGACTTTAGTAGCATGGAACTTTGTTCTGAAATAAGAAACCTACACCATTTTCACACTTGTCCCTTGGAAAAAGAAAAAGACCATTTAATTAAAAGGGACAATTGGCATTAAGAAGTAATCTGGAACAAAATCTAGACTAGCATAAAGGAAATTGAAAATAAAATGAAATGATGTCCACTGAATGAGGGAAACCTGTGAAGAATTTGGAAACCCACACGTTATTTTTTACTTGTCCCATGGGAAAAGCAAGAGTAAATGAAATGATTGGGTCCCAGCAGAAGCGCAGGCAATTTAAAGAAAACAGAGAGTTCCCTTCTTTTGGACTGGGTCTGAGTGAAATGCAATAGATCATTAAAGAAAACAAGCATGGTGTGTGCAAAAATTTCCTGAAGAAAATAGGAATATGCATGGAGAGAGGTACTCTGAGAAAAACCCAGATTCCCGAAGACCATTTTTTGAGCAGGAGCCTGAAAAGATAATAGATAACTAACTCAAATGTGCTCTATAGATGTGGGCTCCTTACAATTACTATTTACAAATAATTAAAAAGAGTTCAGTGGATTTATGACCTTCTAAAGGAGTCTACATTAGTTTTCTGGAGTGAATCCCAAATAGGTAATATATGGTGAAATAAAAGAAACTCCGCTAGTGCAAAGAAGCTGCATAGGCAGCATTGCACCAATGTTTGATGGACTGTATCTCAAAGAAATCTCATTAAAAAATTGAATAGGAAAAGTCTCATTTGGCACAGAGGCATTGGGTACACATGACTAAGGCAAGGGAGGATAACATTGAAAGGGTTCCAGTAATTGCAATGAAAAGTCACATTTTGTACAAGCTTCAGTTTGCAATAGCCCAAAAATGGGAATTGGAGGCAAAATTGACTTAATGTTTGCTCCCCTCTGTGTTCCAAACCCTCACTGATAGAGATGTCGCGGACGGTTCGCGACATCTCTACTCACTGACACTATGGACAAGGAAACTGGAATATTCAGTGCCTATTACCGGTTCTCAATACATAATCTGCTATAGAGACCTAGACAACATTAAATGATTAACTAATGCTTCTGAATCAGCCTCTTCAGAGATAGATCATTTGGACGTCCTCGGTCATATCAGTTACTGGCTACCAAAGACGATATAAAGAACCTCCTCAGAGAGATCCTCCGGTTCATTATGGCAGACATTGCCATTATACAGGTATCGATACTTACGGCCAAAGGCAGTAATGCCGCCATAAGAAGATGCTATGGGGATCCTCACTTCCAAAGTGCATTCAAGAAGCAACAATGGAAAAACAGGGTACTGGACATATTGAGACTATAGTTCCACTTTTTTTGAATTATTTATATTTTTATTTATCTCATTACATAGAAACATAGAATGTGACAGCAGATAAGAACCATTCGGCCCATCTAGTCTGCCCAATGTTTGAAATACTTTAATTAGTCCCTGGCCTTATCTTAAGTCTAGAATAGCCTTATGCCTATCCCACGCATGATTAAACTCCCTCACTGTGTTAACCTCTACCACTTCAGCTGGAAGGCTATTCCATGCGTTTACTACCCTCTCTGTAAAGTAATACTTCCTGATATTATTTTTAATAATTTGCCCCTCTAATTTAAGACTATGTCCTCTTGTTGTGGTTGTTTTTCTTCTTTTAAATTATTCCTGAATCGTACCTTTCAAATCAAAGATCAGATACACCCCTGAAGGAATTCTGTCAGGATATCATATTGTGTTTCATCAACAGAGTGTTCTGAACAATATTTATGCAGCTCAAATTTTCAGGAGATGTCACTGTCATTACTAAAGTAACTTTCCAGGGGCAAAGGTCTTTTAGAAAACTTACCTCCCTATTGCATGATCACTCCATACCATGCCTATGCGAAAGTAACAGTGTCTCCTGCTCACCAATGAGAATATTGCCTGCAGAATGGAGGACCTTGCAATGTTACTATTCAATCAACTCCCTGTGGATTCTGGGGGCCCCGGCTCAGGAGTCTACAGACCCTTAAAAAAAAAAGTTAAACTTACAAATAGAACCAGGCTTATCTGGTTTTATTTGATCCTTGTCTACCACCGTAACATTTGACTGTGACTGACAAACCACCACACATGGCTGCAATATCTAATTACAAACAAGACAGGCCTGACATGCAAGTCTTGTATAAATAGTCTGGAAATGTTTTCTTTATTTTTTCATTGACAAAGCCATCTATACATTGTATTCCTTACTATTCTGATTAGCTTTTCTTGTTGCTATATTTACTTAATTTAATTTATGAATATGTTTATGAACATGTCCATAGATGCCATTTGATACTGCAACCAGTTTATTGGAGGCTCAATCAATGTGCCCTATCCTTTTTTCACTCAATCCAATTAATGAGAGATCCCTAGCAACCTACTGGTAGTTCATGGGACAGTCATGAATGCTTGTTTTTTTTTAATTTTGTTTTTATAAGTCCAGTAGCTTTATTAATAGAGCCCTTTGTTAGACGTAACTTTAGACACAATGCTGTCCCCCAAATGGCCTATGTGACTTCCAGAATAGTGGTATCTCATGTACATTTGCAAAGTATTGTAACAGAGGGAATGGCTTACATGTTCAGTTTCTAAGAATGTATATGACAAGAAAATATTGTTTCTTTTATGGAGTACTGTTTATTCACATCTTGTGTATTGCATTCTTTCTTTTTAAAATGTGGTTTTGTAAGCTCATAACAAATTTACATGTTTGTAACTGCTTTTTAGCATGCAATAAATAAAAAAGCAGATATTAAGATGACAATGCACGTGTAATGAATGTAAATCTTGCCTTGTCTCTAAATCACTTTAAAAAACAGTAATTTTTTTTTAATTAAACCTTGATTTGCAGTTATGTACATTTATAATAAAGCATTAATAGTATTTAATGTAATTACAAAATATTAAAAATACATTTACCCTAAACACATATAGTTAGTATATGAGAAATCACTTAATACACAACATCAATAAATTTATTAAATATGAGACATATCATCATACAGATCATCGTCTTTGAGACCATTCAAAGCCATTCAAACTCTGGTTTTACAAAGCAGTTTTACTTCTCATCTAAGTACACCTTGTTCACTTTTTTCATTGTTCTGTTTGATTTATCTCAAACAATATCTCACAATATCAAACAATATATTCAAATATTGTCCGATGATACTTGAACGCATGATTAAGGTTTTGAACCCGAGGATTTTGAAACCATTCCCAGGTCATGTTTGTTCTTTGATGACTCACTTATTAGCATGTTTTTGAATACAGTAAGCAACACATAATTTGTGGGAGCTATATTTACCCCTATTATTGAGGACATTGGATAATTTCAAAATCTTCAAGTTTTGGTTCGTTATCTGTAATATGTTTATCAATTTTTTCCCCTTTTCTTTCCTTTTTTTGTTTTTTTCTTATTTTTTTTTCTTTTCTATTTTTTTTTTATTTTTTAAGTCTTGTTATTATTTTGGATGTACTCAAGTGAGCCAATTCCTCCTCTGTGTCTTGTATACTTAGTGCCACATACAGGCCTTAGAAGGTCCTAATTTTGTCTACTCTTCTCTTTCTCAGCTTGAATGTATGTACTGATGTGGTTTTGAAAACAAAAAAGTTGTTTTAAAGAGACTAGAGACTGGACATGGTGTACCACCTGTAAATACAAGAGGATGCTCGGTTTCAATAGGGCCTCCAAAGGTGGAGATGAGACCCAGAGTGCGTAGCTATGATATATGCCATTAACCAGAAAATATGCTGTTTGCTTATCCCCAGAGATGGAATTACTACCTCCAGATACCTCTGTTGTGCCGAGTGACTCTCCCTCTATTTTGAAGTGGAAACCTACAGAACCATATGGAATAAATACTGCTTTTACATGGTACAATTTCCAGTCTTCAGGTTGTGGACTAGCACTACTTAACCTACAGATTGGTCAAACCTACGCAGAGCAAAAAAAAATTTTAAGCTTTTTTTTGTATATCTTTTTGTTATTCATATAGAGTACAGCTGCTGTAATTGAGAGGTTGTTGAACTGTGGATGTATATATCTCAATAACAGACTGTGGAGAAAATATAACAGTACACTTTTTTAAATATATTTTTTCTGTCTTCTCTTATTTGTTGATGTTGATATGCAGAGATATTCTTTTTGCAATTAGGCTCGCTTCAGGTAGAGGGGGTTTCATTGGTATAGTAGTCTTTTTGTGTATTGGTTTTATATTGGTAATTAACCTGGTACTTGTGTTTGCAAAAATCATTAATACTTTTATAAATCATTTGCATATTGTATATAGAGTGCAGTATCTATTTGTATTTTTGTTTTTAAATCTGCACTAACCCACCACTCTCACTTGTGTCTTTCTTCATCAACCCCATATTTCTCCTCATCTCATCCCCACATTTCTTCCAATGCCACACTAACATGTTTCTCTTATCTCGTCCATATGATCTCGCATTCTAATACTCATTTTTAGTGATTCCCACACCACTGCCATTTGTCTCTCATTGATTAAAATGAAATAAAATGGTGAGAGCACACTGATAAGTGTACAATAAGTATATGTAACCAGTACACATAGACTAATATCCAATAAAATTGCAGTGACAAGATAAAACAGTGTAAATAAAAAAGTACACACACACATGCAATTTTACCATCAACTTGGTATAAAACCTAAGATATAAACAGAAAATAGACCATAGTGAAATCTGTATAATTGTAATGCAAACAAATTACTACAAATCTGTCCCACTCACATATTGATGAGCCACTTTATGGCAGGCTCAGACTATCAGCAACTTTATTTTAAATATAGATGAGATCAGGTAGATAGGATCCCCACAAGGTTCTGGATACTAGATTCCCCACACTTAATTTGTAAATACAAAAGAAGGTAGTAGAATATATAGCCAGTAAGAATTTATGAATATAGATAATTAAAAATAAAATAATGGGGGGGCGGGGCCTGACCGCCGACGGGATCAGACGTGCTTTGTCTGAGAGCACGCTTCGGAGCCCGAAAATTGGTGCCAACTGGAGGCTAACCACAGCCATCAACCCATACCGGTGACCACACCGATCCCTAGCCACAGGGGTACGAGGGGATACCGTCTAAGAGCCCGCACGGCGCCGACAGTAACCGACAAGGGCCCTAGGCCTGCTGGAGCTTGAGCTGGGACGAGACTCCCACTCTCCCAGGTCTCGCATCCCCCCCCCTGGACTGGGGGGGTCATCCCGGTCTACACGGGCCGCTGATACCACACCAATCTGAGCCCAAACAGCTGCCCTGTCGTGGAACTATCACCGGACGGCACTCCACAAGATGGCCGCCGGACACCAGCCATGTGCGAGATACACCAGCATGATCGGGCCGATCGCGGGAGAGATTACCTAACACCATCAGACCATGACAGTCTACCTCAGGGATGTGTCTGCAGATTACACAGGGCATACCACGTCACGGAAAGTACAGAAACGGAGGAGGGAAGCCAGGCGATGCCATCATGGACCAGCTGTGAGCCTTCAGTGTTGACGCAACCCATGCACTGGGAGAGATCCTGACCGCCACATGGCAAAGCAGCATGGAGAGTGTCAAACTGGCACATACCTACCTGAATGGCGTATTGCACGAGAAATCTCATCACGGTATGACCTCCAAGGGCAGCAACCATTGATGTCCCTCCCAAGAAAGGTCACAGCAATGAGGACTAGACCTGTTCAGACCACAGGAAGCATTGTCCCGGCGAGTGTGGTGGCTGAAGTGCACTGGGGCATTCCGTTCATCTTGTATGGACTCAAGTACCACAAAGACATCCCTCCCTCTAAGGGCATCGGCTGAGCAGGCTAGGCCCCAGACATACAGCAAAATATATTTTAATATATTTATAAAGGTGGAGCACTTAAAGCTTCATGGACCCTTCAGAAAAATCATAGAATCACTCCAGCTCAGAATTACATGTAAAAAAATATACAGGACATAAAATAGTGAAGTACAGTCATAACAGATGTATATAGGTAAAGTATATGTTTATTCCAACTATTCTAGACATAAAATGCTATCTATTATTAAGACACAATCAGCAATGATAGAGAAAATGTAATCCAAGTACATAAAAATCACACTGATATAAAAATATAAAAATCAGCCTCTTACAAGAGAACAGTAGTGAGTATTTTGCAGTATGTCATTGCTACTCTTGTGGGTCTCATAAGGGTGCTCAGCAGTCCGGTTAATCTGCAAGGGAATCCTCCACGGATCAATGTAATAGTTCTGCAGTCACCAGGCTGTAGAAGTAATCAGAGCGTCCCTGTATTCCGAAACTCGTGGGTTCACCAGTAACTCTGCCCACTTAGGATAGCGTAATTACGTAGCTGACATGGCTACGTCACTGCATCTAAGCTGTGACGAAGTGCCCTTCGCCACTTGTGCCTGGAGAGGACTGCTTGCCCGCCTCTTGCCCTGTGACTATGGCCCCTGGGATGTATTGCCCTTTAAAGACATGATTTGGGCATAATGGATTTGTGTTGTGCTGCTGCTGGCCCTTTAAGAACCATCTGGGGACATACTGTGGAGTTACTGGGTGGCCACCATTTCCTGTATCAGAAGCACATGGTGAGAACAATGGATGGCGGCCATTTTAACTCACAGACACTGTTTGGACTTTTCAACACGGTGCCATCTTGCCAGTATTTGTGCACAGAGACATCAGTGGTTTTGGACTATACAGCAGGGGACACATTATAAAGTGATTGTTTTTCATTTAGCCTGTATATGTTCTGCAGAATCTGCATTAAACTGTATTTTCCAAAGTACTGAACGGATCTGGGTGAATTTTGGATATGTGGTTCACCCAGATCCCCCGGTTCCAAGGATATACTTTTTATGGGGTTATTGCATGTTTTGGGGTCCCTGTGTGTTTTATGAAACTGTATTATTTCTGGCCAGCAGATAATTGAGCTTTGTGTATTGTAGAAACTCAATTATCTAGCCTGGCCCAGAGGAGGAGTTTTGTGTTGCATAAATTGTGAGTTCTGTGTGCCAGTAAATCAGTCTTGTTCCAGCATTAAGCCTTGGCTCATGTTTGGGGGATTGGAGAAATACACTCTGGGGATTGCTATAATCACTATACTCCCCAGGGTATGATCACTAAGTTCTGCTAAGAGCTTGTTCCTGCTCTCTGGGGAAAGAGAGGTTCACCCACTGGAAGCTGGATCCTGGCCTTGGGTCCAGGGTGGGTGGAGACAGCAGAGACCCCAGCGCAGTTGCATCGCTGGAAGTGGGGTCTGCAGTGCTGATGGTGTCGGTTGGAGTGCTTGGAGTCCTCGGCAAGCGCTAGGAGCATCGATTGGCGGAGGTACTCAGTCGGAGTGCCAGCGTTCCGTCACATTTGGTGGCAGCGGCGGGATGGCATCCTAGTGCGAGGACCAGCAGCTCAGAGACACCGGTAACGTGTGGAGTTACGGATTTATAATTGAGGGCAACGCTAGCCTCTGCGCAGCGTCCCTACCTACAGCAACATGGAGCTAGCAAGACCCTGGACAGCAGCCAGTGAATTGCAACTCCGCCTGTCACAGTGCTATGAGGGTGCTGATTTCATGAAGGAAGTAAAGGCGCGGCTGGTCTGGTTTGGCCCAAACCCTTCAGATGAGGTGGTCCATCAAGTGATGCGCATGTTGAGTGCTGAGAACCAAGACGCACGGAACTTCGAGTACCAACTGTGGAGTTTGGGGGTATTGACACCCAGTCTCCAGCGACAGAGTGAGTTACAGGGAGAGGAGAGCAGCGACCTCCCATCCCAGCGGCAGTGCACCGTACAGAGGGAAGAGACAACCGGTCTCTCTCCCCAGCGGCGGCCTGAGAGGAGGAGGTGATGGTAGATCACAGCAACCAGCGTCCTGGGGAGGGGAGGAAACCGGCCTCCCTCTCCAACAGCAGCAGTTGCACACAGAGAGATGGCAAGCGGAGATGGGACCGAAGTCTCTCTGCCAGCCTTCAGGGTGCTGGGCAGTCAGCTCCCCAGCGCAGTATAATATACAGGGAGAGGAGACAACTGGTCTCTCTCCCCAGCGGCGGCCTGAGTTCCAGGAGGAGGTGATGGTCGATCCCTCCACCTTACAGCAACCAGCATCCTGGGGAGTGGGGGCAACCAGCCTCCCCCTCCAACAGCAGCCATAGATACCGGGAGAGGGGAAGACAAACCTAACCACACTGGCGCAGATGGGACCGCGGTCTCTGTGCCAGTCCTACAGGGAGGCTGGACAGGCGGTCCAGATCCCCAACCAACCCCGCAGGGATGCCAGGAGGAGGAGGTAAGCGAAACTTCCCCTCCCCAGCTACATCCCAACTGGGTCCTGGGGGCAGTGGATGAGCCTGCGATACCCACTGACCCCCTCCCAGTGGCTCTGGGCAGAGTCTGTTAATCTGCCCCCCCCATCAATGTAAGCCTGTTACCAGGTTACGCTGGCACAGTCTGCCCCCCAAGGCGTTTGCCTAGCTGCACATGCACGTCCTACAGGCCAGTACCATTTATTGTGGGGGGGTTACTCTGCGTATTTTTCTTTGTGGGTGGGCTGCCCGACTAATCTAGGTACTGACCGGCAGAAGGTCAGGTACCTGTTTAGTCTTCCCCCCAAAGGGAAGATGTGTGACGAAGTGCCCTTCGCCACTTGTGCCTGGAGAAGACTGCTTGCCCGCCTCTTGCCCTGTGACTATAGCCCCTGGGATGTATTGCCCTTTAAAGACATGATTTGGGCATAATGGATTTGTGTTGTGCTGCTGCTGGCCCTTTAAGAACCATCTGGGGACATACTGTGGAGTTACTGGGTGGCCACCATTTCCTGTATCAGAAGC